GAAGAGGGAGACAGCAGGTTCTTCCAAAATGTGGGCAACACAGCATGTTCACAAGGTATCACCACCCAGAAATAGGATCAACGACATTAGATACAGTGCAATCTGAGCTCATATGAATAGTTTTGATGAATCACGTACATCTAGTTTTCTGCATTTTGTCTGTCCAGATTTGGATTAAAATAACAACAGCAGTGTGTTCAGGATTACTCTCATTTATAAGTACCAACTTACAGTGCTACTTGGCGCACGGAGAATATCACCAATTCCTCCACCATTCCTCAGTCCTTGGTTCAGTGTTGTGACGATGCACATGACAAGTGAATCACACGCTCTCTCTTTGACTTCTCCTCCTGACACTGTGACTTGAGAGTTCACTTCTTCTGAAATAATAACATTGATATGACGGTTCTGTTCTAAGACTACAGCTATGCTGTAGCATTCTCACACCCACACTAAGGATTATAATGACAACAGCTCACTGTTTCTCAAACAGAGGTAGAAGGACTGATCCCACCCATTCCACAAGGATTCTCCTGAACAGTTCTATCTTCTGGGATATAATGCCATGTAGTCTGTTGAACATCAGCCAATATCTGAGAGAAGCAGAGCCATGTTTGCTGCTTGCTTCTCTTACTTCTCAATCCTGAAGATGGATGCAACATGTTTCTCCAAAAGTCTGGTTGGATTTCAACTGGATGCATGGCATTATATCCCAGAAGAAAAGTTTGTATCACCACTGCTGTGAGAACCTCAAATCCTGCAAGGACTCTCATGTTGGCCCACTGTGTATGGGCACCGAAATGTTACCTGTATAATATTTGTAAAATTTCAAACTGAAATTTTTCAAAATGTATTAAAGGAGCACAGAAAGTTGTTCATATGCAGTACATACACTTTCTAGGTATGCGTGCGAATAACTTTCTGAGTCAGAGCAAGAATTTGGAAAAATTTCAAGAATCAAGAAGAAAAGAAGAGTTTTCTCCACCAGACAAATTTTTTCATTGTAATCATAATTTGTTATTGAAGGAAAGATAGAGGGGCGAATAGAAGTGACCAGAAGACGAGGAAGAAGACGTAAGAAGATGCTGGATGACCTTGGTGACAGAAGAGGATATTCTCATTTGAAGGAGAAAGCTCTAGATCGCATTAAGTGGAGGAACTGTTTTGGAAGAGACTGTGGACCTGTCGTCTTGACAGATTACTGATGAATGAATGAATGAATGGATTTATAACAGCTGCCACTCTTTTACAGTGCACTGAAGTGCAGGGACTATTAGTTATCATTCTGACATTACATCAACTTTCAACAGAGAGTCTGAATATATTATAATACTGTCACATGTAGGGTGGTATGTGTGATGAAAATGACGGGTTCTAGTTTGGATGATTGGATTTATTAGCACTCTGGTTACAATCTCTCTTAATCAGATTTAAACACAGGCATCACAGCACTACTGCTAACTTCCACAATTTACAGTTCACTGTTGCACTTGCACTATGATTCCATGTCTTCATTATTCATTTCCTGGCAATGGATCTCAACACAGAAACTATAACAGTCTCACTGGATCACACACTCCAAGTATTACACATAAACAAAGTCTTCAAATCACACATTAAACCCTCATAGGCCGACCTACTGTACTCTTCTGTAGTCCTGGTTCCAATTTGATCTGTTCTGTGCTTCCAATGGTACTATCTCTCTGCCAGCTTAGGAAATCTGCTCACTTATATAGCCAAGAGACGGACATCCACCAACAGTGAAAACATATCATGTGACCCCTACCTACAGCAAATGCGCATGCTGATGGACTAGCAGGAAACACATGTCATGTGATGGCCACCTACTGTTGCTGTGTGACATCACTCCACCTGTGCCAGCTGCCGGGCACACGGAAAACACAGCCTGCTCTACTGTTGCGTGCATGTATTGTGTTCACAGAGCTGTTTTCTGGCAATGCATTGATCAAATGCATCACAATATAAAACCAATTCCAGAGCCATGACCTTTTTCATCACAGCAGAAAAGAGATCAGAGAAACCAACTGATTTATGTAGCATTACTAACCATTATGGCACCATAATTTTAAGGGTTCAGCAAGCTACTATGCAAAGAAAAATGAGTAATTTGAAAATGCTTGAAAACTGAGACTGAAAAATCAACATTAAAGTCAAGATTGAGACATTTCTTGCTTATATTAAAAAGTTCAAGACTTGCCATGCCTAATATTTCCCATCTGCATTCTTGTGATTTTAAATCCCGAATTTGACTTAGAGTTAAGTTAAGCAGATACAAATTTGCTGCTAACACATACAATCAACACACAGAAAATAACACCACATAAAGGCTGAAAAATACTTCTTGAATGTTGTGAAACACACATCAAAAATGTTTCAAATAAAAGTTACAGAGTTTATCGGTTTCAATATTTCACTGTTAAGAAATGGTTTTTGTGTGATAAGACACTTATGGAAAATTTTGCAAAGTTTGATGTGAGCTCTTACTGAAGAACTTCAGTGCTGAATTTCACTTAAAAGAGCTCAGTAATTCTGGATATGACATATGCAAAAACATATACTGCAAAATGAAAAATCACATTAATGGTATGTTTCTTCTTATACATTTCACATAATGGTTGAAATATGAATGTATGGTAACAGTTTATTAATATCAATTACAGGGAAGCCCATTATGCTCATATTATATCTGCTGCTAGTCACTAGGTGCAAAGGATGTATTTCTATAAGAGATCTGATGTTCCCAAAGCAGAGAATATTAAGATTTTAGTCTTCTTGGATGTGACCTCATGTAGTTTGGTGGACAGGTACTGATGTTTCAGAGGAACCTGCCCCAAAGATGTTTCCCTATAACAGGCCGTGGAGGCCCATGGGGTTGTGAGATGTCGAGGCTCCCACATTTTCTAGACAATCGACTCACAGATGGTGGTGAGGTTGTCAACCTCATGCGCCGGCTGCCCTTTACCCCCAGGAATATTCCTGGTACTCCTTTCTGTTAGAGGCTGATCCCAGAAGTAACCTACATGTATTCTTGGTCTTGCCTGTTCACAATTTCAAAAGTTTGAGAAACAGTGAAATAACTGATTTAATGGTAATACACAGTAATGTGTTTGGGGTAGGTACTTCCATGGTAACGCGATAACAGTGAGCTGTTGCATAGAAAATGCTGAAACAAAGAACGCGTCTCCCCGGAAATGAACAACCGAAGGCTCGTTGCATAACAACGGACTGTCGGAATAACGGGAACGGAACCGTGAGGAATGGTGTCTGGTATGTGGTCAGCATAATGCCTATGTAAGCAGAGCCAGAGATGACACATACGGGAGAGACAGTCGAGATCCAGCCACGGCCAATTCAGTAAAAGCATTGAAGTAGAGGCAGTAGTTGTGATACTGCAAGTGGTAATAATTGTAGGGTATATAAGAGTGAGTGTCCAATAAAGATTAGCTAAATCCGAGATCCAAGTGAAATAATTTGTTGCATGACTCACCCAACACGTGACAATACCATAAATTTTAATGCCAGGGGACTTCAATGCAGGGTAAATTATTTTGTACAGAAACATACAGAAGGTACAGGTGTGTTATGACAGTGAGTTAATCAGAAACTCATTTAACCTGCTTAATGGGGCTCTACAGTTGTATGAATTCACATCCAGATCCCAAGTCCACTGGATGTTTAGTTCACAGTTTAGGGAACTGTACTAAACATGGAGTAAATATGAAATAATTTATTTCTGTTTGCATGAGGGACAGCTTGGGCAATTAGGCTCAGGCTTTTCAGTGTAGAATGTTAGATATTAAGCCTGACTAGCCATAATGTTATTACACCTGTAGCCCTCCTCACTTCTGTCTTGCAGCTTGGCCAGTCTCAAAGTAATCAGTAACAATAATGAAGAGAAGTCTTCAAGGAAAGAAGTGTTAATGTGTCCTGTTCTCCTCAAAAACATTTATCTTACTTAATTCCCAGCTTTATGTGCACCTTCCCATTTTACAGATAATCTTCGGCCTATAATCACAAGGAAGCATTCCCTTCAAAGACAGGTCAGTATAAGTTGGTTTTAAACTAAAATGACAGCTTGAAACTGCAGTGATTCTTACCTTTGTAAAAATTCTCAGAACTGACATTGTGTTCACAGTTCCCATCTGCTGGACATGTCTGAGCAGGTTTGGGTATTTCTGTGTCATTATTTACTGCTGAAATATCAAAGCATACTTACAGAGCTATATATGAAATAAAACAGTGGGAACAAGATAATATGGTTAGGCCAACATGTCAGAGAACTGAGAACAATTCTGCATACTCTGCATGAAGCCTAGCAGAACACATATCCATATAAAGTGATAAAGTAAACACTGGTGACTGAAAAGAAGTCAACTATATTGAGGAAACAGAAAGCAGTCCCATGGAACAACCCCTTCAACATCACTCTTGAGCTATTACACTTCCCTTTCTGGCATGCTTTCCCTATTCATTTCCACTTGTCTAGTCATTCTGTTCACACAAACGGTGGCACCAAAAATAACCTTTACCTCTGCTAGCAATAAGCAAGCACTTTGTCATGTCATGAAAATTCATTAGCTTATGCCAGTGACAGAATGGATGGGAACATAACCAAACTTGTTATTCATTCACTAAAATGGGTTAACCAGGTGGCACTTTGGGCTTTCTATGAGAAGACAATTTGCCAAATCTTGGATACAAAATGGGAAAGGTCATGGATAGTCTCATCCAGGTAGTTAACTTAATGGTGAAGTGAAAAGATATATATAACTAAACTATGTCTGCTTCAAGATGAACACTAATCCACTGTAACTGGACATTATGATTAATGATTCAGGATTCATGACAATTACAGAAAATAACATTAGCTGTATGACCTTTTCATAACTCAGACTGCTATGACCTCTTGTGCCTTTAAAAGTAAGTTGCAAGTATCACTAAGACTATGAATCAATACTTTAAACCAATTAATAATGTAAAATAAATAAGATAATGAAGAAGTAAATCAGTGGATTGATTTGCTGTCATAAATACTCGCGTAAAATAATAACTGAATATTACATCTATGATAACAGTTGAAATTCAATCTAAAGCTGGTACAGTCCAAATAACTGACAGAAAAACAAATGAGTGAACATAGCTGTAGGCATTAAGATATATTTTAAGATACAAGTTTTTGAATTCTGATGGTGAATGCCTGAGCCCCAAACAAAGGATTGCAAAGTTCTATTTATAGGAAGAAACATAAATTCTTCTTTGTGATCTTCTGCTTGTTGTTTTAATTTTTTTGTTAACTATCAACCCTCAGACTACTAGGATGATGGAGTTCCTTCCAGGATCTATAACATATATTTCATACCTCTGCCCTTAAATTATACACATTCTGAGTTCTAAAATTAGCAGTTATCAAGATATCAGTTTAAAGTATACTTTGGTACAGGTTAGACGGCAGGTAGTATTGGAATGGTTTTACATCTCAATAACAAACAGAATAAGTAAATTTTAAACTGCTTACTTCATACCCCTCCAGACCTTTAATATCTGCAAGACTGTAAACTAATATCCTTGATTATGGTGTAACACAGTGTTTAAGTCTGTTTATTTGAACTTAGTTCCCTATATGAAAACCAAAACATTTCAGAAGTGGGTTCTATTTCTGTCTTCAGGTGGAGAGGATATGAAGGAGGTAGTAATGCTAATTGTTTCATATCACTGCAGGACTTCAATACAGTACATACTTAATGTTCCTTGGTTTAATGTCTCCCTCATCTAACATTCTATACCAATGATTGCAAGTCCAAAATCTCAGTGCTAATTTTCCCCCATTTAATATTTTTCTCAGTTTAGTGCTTCAATTCTCTAGTCCTGAAACCCTGAAACTGTGCATGGAATTGGCAATTTCTAGATACAAAGCCCAATTATATAATAGATAACCAGATATGATTAGGTTCATGACCAGACTGAGGCCAAGGAAGGAAATCACATGGATGGATCCCCTATACATCCCCGACTTCCTTACATTACGTTCCAGCCACCCAGCCATTCAGTTCACACACATACTGGTAGTGACAGCCACATGCCAACTAGCACTCTGGCCTGGCTGATAGTGGTTAGAAGCGAATACAATAGCAGGTAAAAGGGGAAGCCTCAAGTGCCATAATTTTCAGTATTTATGGTACTTTTTTTTCAACGTTTTCAAATTTTTAAGCAAAGATGTTTAGTAATTTTTCATAGACAAATCAGTAATAAAGAAATATTGATTTTAACCAAAATTTGCTTTTGTGTACAAGCTCTTTTCAGCTAACAGCTTCCTCAGTGGAATCTTTCTCTCAACAGTTTACTGCACTTACGCACCTCATCTTGTCTGTCCAGGTCACAACATCTGTACTGGTTGATACTTACACACAGAGTCTTGATCAACACTGACGAGGAAATCGTCCTTGAAGAACATATACCCAATAATGCTGAACATGTACACAAGAATGAGAGCCAGAACAGCAGTCAAGATGATGGAACGACCATTCCGAGTCACAGACCTGATCACATTTAAAAGTGTTTCTTCACGATACACGACATCGAACAACTGAAATGTAAGTAACATACAAATATAAACCTTTGACATTAATAATGTACAGTATATCCAAACAGCATTGCAAGAACTGAAATGTAAGTAACATACAAACATAAACCCTTGACATTAATAATGTACAGTATATCCAAACAGCACTGCAATAATTGAAATGTAAGCAACATACAAATATAAACCCTTGACATCAATAATGTACAGTATATCCAGACATCTCTGCAACAACTGAAATGTAAGTAACCTACAAATATAAACCCTTGATATTAATAATGTACAGTATATCCAAATAGTTAAGCAACCCACTTGCTTTCATCAAGATTCAATGGCAATTTTGATCCTATTTTTGGGTGATGGTGCTGTATGGAAAACCCTAGTCTTTAAGCTACTTGAATGAAGTTTGAGTGATGAGTAGCTCCATACTGGCAAATGTCTGTATGTACAGATTCACTGTATGCAATCCACCACTTGAAGTTTAAAGCTCTGTAATCATGATGAGACACTCTACCTATATGCCAGTTCTTCAAAACCACTGTATTTCTGCAACCATCAGACTCTGTTAGGTCTCTAGGTAGAGCTGATGGGCTTTGAGAGTAGATCTACTACTGTACCTAGGGGTCCAACAGAGCATCATCTGGTGACAGGACTAGAGCCAATTTCTTATGTGCAGTGGTTTTAAAAACTGAAACCATGGGCATAATTCAAAAGAACAGTCTTAATCGACATACATTTATTTAACACATATGTATCAGATTATATAGTGTCAAGTTACAGGTTGATTTCATGCATAATGAACTGGAAGTGATGTGGAACGAAGCCATGGTTGTCTAGTTTGAGGCACTATGCCAGAGTCTACCTGGGGGAATTAATGGGAATCACAAGTTGAGACAGCCAGTGTCCTGGGTGGGATTCAAACTAGTGACCTCCAAAATACAAGCCAGAAGTGTTACTGCATGAGCAACCTGCTTAGTTTAACCAACATGGGAGTTACTGCACTGGCTCAATATAACAAGATGGTTATAATGTAACACATTCCTTATGTAAGTGCTGGTTATCCACATCTTGAAATTAATGTGACTCTGCAGCACACGAAGAGGCACTTTATATACACCCTGAGGATAAATAATTAAATACTGTACTAAGACATCCTGGACTTTTCAAATATTTGGACTAACAATAAAATGTTTTCCTAAATACTGTCATGTATTTTGAGGGCTGCGTGAATTATAGATGGGTTTCTGATTGGATGATTAGATGTACTGACACCTTATACACACACAACTCGGAACTACAAGCAATTACAGCACTATCACTGATCTACACACTTTACAGTTCACTGTTACACATACTAATGCCCTCAGTCTTCAGCAGTCGCATCCTGGCAACAGATTCATATCCATCTCACTGTGATTGCAGCACACTATGAAGCCTTCTTTGCCATTATTCTGCCAAATGCCAACTCTGGAGACTCTCTCAAGTCTCTGCTTCAACTGCCAACTCTGGAGACTCTCAAGTCTCTGCTTCAACTGCCAAATCTGGAGACTCTCTCAAGTCTCTGCTTCAGCTGCCAACTCTGGAGACTCTCTCAAGTCTCTGCTTCAACTGCCAACTCTGGAGACTCTCTCAAGTCTCTGCTTCAACTGCCAACTATGGAGATTCTCTCAAGTCTCTGCTTCAACTGCCAACTCTGAAGACTCTCTCAAGTCTCTGCTTCAACTGCCAACTCTGGAGACTCTCTCAAGTCTTTGCTTCAACTGTCAACTCTGGAACTCGATTCAATTCAACTGCCATCTCTTCTCACTTATCCTCATGGAGTTCCACTCTTGACTCAATTCTAATTCTAGCTGCGCGAGATCCTTGTTATGCAGCCTTGGGGCGAACCCACAGAAAACACTGCTTCACATATTGTTGCATGTTGATTCACTGCTGCAGAGATGTGTTTACCACTCAGTTGCATACCAACGAGTGTGGTGCAAACCCACAGAGAACGCCACTTGCAACACTTGTCACATGACCTCACAGCGTACATGATACGTTCCTCTGCTGGGTGTGTATGGGCCATTACCAAGCAATGACCGTTTCTCTGCCTCCAAAGTTCTTGCTTTGAGCAACTATGACACACTATGTTCTCAGTTTTTCAAAATTATTTTGACTGTATATGATAATAAGTAAGCTATAATTACTTAATGACAAAAAGAAGCAATAAAGGACTTAAAATTATACAACAAAATTATTTCATTAATATATCTGTTTTAATCAGAATTTTATGCTTTGAAGGTTCCTCCGAACCATTCTTACTCAGTTCCTTGTGAACTGGAACACGCACATTTCAAACCAAGATATTTTTATAGCTACATCAAATATGGCACAAATATTATAATCTGTATCAATGATGAATCCATAAGAAAGTAATACAGTGACAGAGATATTTTCTCATATCTGAACCAAGCCAGAAAATACTGTAATGCGTGAATTAATGTCACAATACTTACCAATACAGAATAGAAGAAAGGGTGCATACAGAGACCTAAAAGGCAGAATACTACATATGCAAAGTGGTACAACAGTTCCGCATCTGTCACCATCTGCTTAAAATTCTTTGTAAATGTTCCTTGGTTGCCCATAATACTGATTAAATGTATTCCTTTTAGAAACACCTGAAAAGGAACAGTCGCTATTAATATACACATAACTCAGATACATTTAACTTTCAACATTATGTCACTTACACAGGCTTTCTCATTTTAACATGCTACCTCTCGGGTATTTAAAAGGAAAATGTTCCTTGTACAACTAATTGTAAGCTTTTCATCAGTACCAATGAGACTTGGAGTGTCTGGAACTGAATGGGACACATCAGTTCCTGGTCTTGGCTGATGGTATTTACTGGATGGAAACATCAATAAGGTAAGGGTAAAGCTGTCCCTGGCTGGTTACGGTAGCCAAGTGGTCCAAGGCATGGACTGTCTTTGCTCGCTTGTAAGTCAGGATCATGAGTTTAAATCCCACTCAGGGCATGGATGTTTAGTGTTTGTGTGTGTGTGTGCACATTTTTGTGTGTTTGTGTACAGGCAGAGACCTTGTGATGAGCTGATCAACCGCCCAAGGAGTTCTACTGAATGTCTAAGATCTAGTAAACCGAAGTGAAATGGAGAGTTTCATGGAGGTAGGCCAAGGCCAAAATTGGGGTTGTAGTGCCAATGGAAAAAAAAGCTGTCTCTGTGCTTAACTAATTAAGTACTATGCCATGTAGGCATATGGGGAAGTGGTGTACAGATACATTTTCTTGACCTCAGTACTGGTTGCAGGCGAGTGGTCAGCTTCCTGCCCCAGTTGCTTTACCCCCAGGAAAAGAGCCCCCAGTACCCACTGAATAGGAGGTTGGGTAGACACCAGAGCCAGTCTGGATGACGTGAAGAAGAGAAAATTCTTGACCATACTGGTGCTCAAACTCCAACCTCCTGGTCATCCAGCCCATAGCTAGTTGCTATACCGATTATGCTAATACCATTAATAAAAACAAAGAAGTTATATTAGTCCATGATTTATTTAATCCGTCTTGCAGTGCATACACTCATTTATCTCCTTCTCTCCCTCGCACTACATGTTTCGGCATAATAATGCCATCTTCAGGTGCTTACTTATCCATGTCAAACCAGTTCATTGCATGCCATGTTCTCACATTAAAATAACTAAAATATGTATCTATCATATACATTGTCAAACGTTAAAAATATTAAAATTGTTCAGGATACCACATCGCTACGTCGCCCCTCACTACGTCAGTCACGCCCATTCTCCTTTGTTGGAGCACTCCTTCACTATCTTGTGTGTTGTGCTTTTGTTGTGTCGTGCTCCTGCGACTGCGTGTGTTATACTGTTATACAGTATACAGTTATACAGTACTGTTATACAGTTGTGTTATACAGAAGTTCTATTAAATGACAGTAAGGAGGCTGGTCAATGGTAAACATAGAGAAAACTCAGTAATGTTCAAGACTTATAGGAATAAGGATAAATCTAGGACTTAGATTATATGATGATATCAAGTGCTTTAAAAAGTGTAAAAAAGTGGAAATGACAGTCATAAAACAAAACCTTTCTCATGAGGAAATTATGAGCAGCATAAATTCCAAGAATGGTGGCAATCATTCAGTTCAACACAATCTTTCATCCAAATAGTCACATTACTCTACATGGGCATCACATCCAGTCTGCAGTGCTGAGGGAAGGACACAGACTGAGGGTGAATGAGGAGCATATTGGCTAGAGAAAACTGAATCATGAGGAATTTCAGAAGTTTTACTATACCAAATACCATGAGGATGATCAAACCAAGGAGAATGAGATGGATGGTGCATGTAACATGCATAGAAGACAGGAAATATACACACAAGAGGTGGAGACTTGGAATTCCTAGGTGCAGATGGGAGGATAATATTAAAATGTGTGGATTAGATTTATCAGGATTAAATTAAGGACCAGCAGGGAGCTTTTCTGTACATGATAATGAACCTTCAGATCCATATAAAGTACAGATTTTTCTACTATTTTTTTATTGCTAGTGGGTTGGGACTAAGCCCCCTTGCACTGCGGCCACTTCTGGCCTATTGTACCAGCCCCAGATGATAGGTGAGGGTGATTGTGTAGCAATTGGTGGAATGAAGATTGGCAGAGGAAACCGAAGAGAAAACCTGCCCCAGCGTCACTTTGTCCACCACAAATCCCACTTAACCAGACCCAGGATCGAACCTGGGCCACCATGGTGGAAAGCCATTGACTAACTGCTTGAGTTATGGCACGGCCATTTCTTGACTAGCTACTATCACCTTCTGAAGAGGGACTCTACTTCATGGACTTTGTCTTTGGCATTTACATGTTTAATATATAGACAGTCAGAAAAGGCGACACTTCTTAAAGCAAAATATTATGCACTGTGTGATTAGTATCTTCATCTCACATTCTACAAATCTCACCTCTCTCATATGCAGCTATATGCAAACTGATTCCACTCATCCCCTAACACAAAAATTTGTGAAAATTCACTCGGCCATATTTCCAGCACAGTTCCATAAAATGAAGAGACTGTATATTCTAAATAAAATATAACAGCTCTGTCATGCTCTATATCTCTGTTAATTTTTTATAACAGTAGGTTTATGAAACTTCTTCTGATAAAACATGATAAAATTTCCGTCAGGAGAGTAACATGACTTACAGTGATGGTCCCCAGGAGTAAGAGTGTTGGTTCAGGACCAACAGAAAAGATCATCCTTAGAATTGTGGATGCTACAAGTGTTCGAACACCAGATTCACGGGGAAGTGTGATGACAATGGCCACTGATACCAACATCACTGCCCAAATCAAACCTGAAAAGTGCTGTCCCAATTCTAGGAAAATGAGAAGAACAGCTTATTAGAGCCAATGATTTAATATTTATTCAAAACAGATGTTACTGTGAAGGTCCTAAATATAATACCAGCAGGTGGAAATCACAATTTTATATTTAATTTGTATACTGTCATGTGGTAATATGCTTGACCTTTTGTCAAGTGTACATATTGCACACATATACATGTAGCATGTTATTCAAAATTCTTCTTTTTGCACTATATACTCGTACAAGTCCTCTGTCAGTCCAGGCTTTGCAAAGTAGACCAGCAACAATAGCGACTTAGTCACTGGAATGGCCGTAAGCTTGACCACTGTCAAGTTTAAGACTCTTGTATTTTCGATGTCTGGGTTCACCTCATCCTATACCATGAACATGCTCATTCTCATGATTTTTTATGACTTCTGCTTGTTGTCTGCACAATTTTATTATATAATTGTATACACATGAAGGTTGAAAGCCATGAACAAATCATGGACTGCTGTGTGTCTTGGAAAATGTCCAATGGTGCAAAGAACCTTGTTTGTAGGCACTGATATTTAACGAGGTAGATGGGACAAGCTTAAATCATCACTGATCTGATCAGTGCACTCATGGAGGGTTAATTTAATGCTGGTGCTTAAACACTCACTCTTGAATACGGAGTAGTTTCTAATATTAATTAAATCATTTCTGTATGCAGTCTCCATGTAATCCTCTTATCTAAGATTACACCAAAAAATCTTGCGTGTTTGATGAAGGGGATATTCCATTCATTCAATGCAAGATGAGCCTAAGACCTGAGTCTTATCTTCATAGATTTTTATGTTCCAGTGCTCACACCACATCTCAATAGCACCGAGACCTCACTGCAGCTTTCTGAGTCATGACCCTCTTTGTGGTCTGCCACATATGTGTGTCATTAGCAAAGAGACCTAGATAGACAACAGGTGTTAGGGGCATATCATTTATCATTTTTCATTGAATGCATCCTGTTGTGTTACAATATACAACTTCTTTATTAACCATCCAATGAACAATTTGTCCATGGGAATGTATGAAAATACAAAACCAACGACTGATTCGATGTTATAAAACATCAATTAAAATTTTATTCTTGTTTTATATTATAACTTCTGTTTTCTTATATAATCTGATTTATTGTATTTTTTACGTTAAATAGTATTATATCCAGTTTAATACTACTGCAGTTCAGTGGTGTATGTATGTTAAACATGTATTTGCCTGATGATGGCTATTGATAGCCGAAACATGTAGCAGAGCCGTAGCTGGACACTGATCTTGATATTTGTTGTGTTGTGACGGTTAATAAAGAAGTTGCACATCATTTATATATACACTGTACAATGAAACCTCATTGCACCTGTGCTTCTACATCCCTTGGAGCAGACATTTCATCTTCAACCGAGGCTCTGAATTTTCTCTGAGACAGAAAAGAGCTAATAAACTTCATCACATTGATTTAAAATTTTAATTCAGATAATTTATTTAGCAAGCCAAGGTGCCATGTTGTATCAAAGTCTTTTCAATAATCAAGAATACTGCAGCCGTAGACATGTTATTGTTGAAATTTAATGTCACATGATTTGTAAGCCTCATACATCTAAGTGTTGCACTGTGACAGGCATGGAAACTAACCTGGTTTGCATTAAGCAGGCCTCTTTCTTCAATGAGCCTTTGGACTATTTTCAGAACAACTTTCTAGATTAGCTTGCCTGCTGTAGACAAGAGACTAATCGGATGTCAATTTTGAGGGTATTTTGGGTCCTTACTGAGTTTTGGTAATGTTATAATTTTTGCTCCCCTCCAAGGTTTTTTGAAAATGGGACAGCAGAAGGAAGTAATTAAATAAATGTGTTAAATGTACCAGTGTTCTTCTTGGAAGATGCCTGAGGCATTTTTTTGGAATATCAAGTCCACAAGCTTTTGCTAATTTACGTATGTCACAAGGTCTTACTTTTCCCAACAGGGTGTCATCTATAGATATGAGCAGGGCTTGAACTCTAGTCTCCACCTGTCACTCATGGTTTTCATCACACAGGTCAAGAGATGTGAACGGATTTTCTAAACAATCTGCAATTATGTTGGCTTTCTCATTCGGGTGATATGTTATTCCTAATGGCCCATGAACAGCGGTTGGTGCCTTTGGTCCATCCCTTTTCATAAGCGATTTTACAACAGGCTACAGGGCTTGAGGTGTGACTTCACAGTTCCCAATATTGTTTCCCACTGTTCAAATGCTTTTCTACGGGTCATCTGTCTGATGGTTTTGGAAACACAATTAACTATGTTTTACATGCTGGTTCCCAGGTTACTTGCCACAATTTCCTTAACCTCCACTTTTGTTTTAGCAGACTCTCCACAGCAGGTAGATCCTTATTAAGGTCTGAGAGTGTAATTTTTATCAGCTTCTTTCCCTCAGTTGATTTGGATTCCAGGTGAAATAAATATAGAGGCCAAGCTTTGAAACCGCTCAAAATCTGTGAATTTGTCAACCGGGTCCAAAAGATACCTAGTTCTAACATGATTAAGCAAGTGGAAAATGGTTTGTAGGTGATCTGAGTCCAGAATATCACAGACAATGACATCTGACAGTCAGACATTCTTGGGCACAGCATTACTGAGCACATCACCATTTCCCGTAGGAAAGCAATGAGTTGGACATTGTGGTGCTGAAATTTCAAACTCATTTATATGCAGTAAATGCAGCAATTTCATGCCTGAAGGCTTGGAATCTATACTATTCCAAAATGGATGTTTAACATTCAGCTCTCCTGCCAGTGGTGATTTAAGTCTAAAGCTTAAGAGCTCAATGATCTGTGCAACATTCCAGACATGGCCTGGTGACTTACAGACGGTTAGAAGTAGAACTTCACTACTATTAATCAGTATGCAAACCCCTGCGGATTCTACTGAAACAAGAGGAGGCAGGTCTACATTGTTGCAGGGAATGCCTTTTCTCACTGCAACAGTAGTTCCACCTTTTCTTTCTGGAAAGTGCTAAGTCCAATAAAAGTGATAATTTGGTATAAAGAACCTCTCACACGGTATGAGATGTGTCTCTGAGGGCACAGCCACATCTATATATATGTACTGCAGCTGTTTACTGAGCTCACAGCACTGCCTCCAAATGCCATTTGCAATAAATGCCATGACTTTGATCAGCCTATGAGCTCCAGCAGTTATTTTGTTTCATTAAGTTAAGTAACATTTTAGTAATGAACATTTTTTTTCTGACACAGCTTCACTGAGCTCTGTCATGATTTGGTTCACTACAGTGGTGACTTCTAACATATTAATGTTAGATGAACTGGGAGCCTGTAAAGACAAACTTGTTTTCTGAATTTCCTGTTGGGGCAGACGCTGCGTTATGCTTTTCTCATCTGTCTGCGGTGCCTGCGGTTGCTGGTGTGTCTTGATGCAGTGCTGCTGTGTACGACTGCTCTGTTGAGATGAACTTAGAGAAGAACATCGCTCCCAGAGGATCCCGTGCTCTTCTCCTTTCGCAGGGCTGCAGCCTCGGTATGATGCTGGATGAGGTTTCTCTCCCTCTCCTAGGGCGTGGCTGCAGCAGCTCAGCATAGACCCCGTATTTATTTTTCAGGGCATTGTCTATGCAGGTGGCCACCCCCACCCCCATGCCACACACATCGAGGGGACTGCTTGCAGTTGACCCAGACATGGCCAAAGTTTTGACAATTGTGGCACTACGTAAGGCCAGTCTGAGCTCTTGGTAATAACTGGGTAAGGGTACTGAGATTTTATGTTTGTTGTTCAGGTAACAAGGAACAGGTGGAGGAGTTCCAAGTGGTTTTGTCAGTTTGGTGCTCTTCGAGTGGCTGTCATTTGCCTCATGTTGATAATACTAAAGCCTAATTCTTCAAGGCTGCTGGGAATACCTTCTGCTGGCATGTCTAGTGAAATGTGATGGATTATTGCCTTGAGAGGCGTTTCAGAATTTAGAGAGAAGGTAAAATAGCACAGATTATTTTTCTCCCAGTAGGATTTCATTAGTCATACTCTCCTTTGACATGGTCTTTTATGTCACTCTGGTGTTGAATGAAGTTTGTGGTAGAACTCATCATTATTGCTGGTGGCCTACCTGATTTTCTGGGAGCTTCCTGCTCCAGCAATCTCTGTGTCCATGTCGGTAGTTCTGAGAGGTGTGAGAAGTTGCGGGTTATCTCTGCTTTTGGAGGCAGATTTACAACTTGGGATGTTGGAATTGGTTTAGTTGTCTTCTTTGCTGTCTGTGAGGTATCATTACAGATATGCCTCTTGCGTCTCATAACTTTCTGAAAGTTGTCATCCTGGGCTGATTCCAATGAGGTTTTGTTTACTGCACTGCTTTGTCCTGCCTGTGTACTCAGCTTCAGGATGGCTTTCAGTTCATTCGGTGTTAATGTGTACATGTCGTAAAGAGCGCTAAAAAGTGGCTTTCCATCTCTACCTTTACAAAAGTTTGCTCTGCTCTCCTCCACACTACTCACAGTAGAAGTCCACTCCGAGCTCTTCCCCACTTCAGCTGGTGTGCATCCAGCAAGGTTCTCAATGTATTCTGTATACTTGTTACACTATGGAAGCTGCAAGACATTCAGATTTCAGTGATGCTAACTTCTGTGTCCAGTAGTTATGGAATCTCAGTACTGGCACATTCAAGTTTGTGGGGAACATTCAAGTTTTCCACTTGTTTTGTTGTTCTGCACAGCACTGCGCACAACCATGGGTGAACACAAACTACACTGATACCATCTTTGCCAAACAGGAGTTGGCCAACTACAACTCTGTCCAACACGTCTTGTCCAAATCAGTAAATCCAGTCAAGATCTGGTGTAGCTGAGTTACTGTCTGACTCAATTCAACTGCCTGAAAAATAGCCCTGGCACAGATTGCACAGAAAATGTCTCTTCCATCATTGCTGGGGAAACATGTCCACAGAGTTGTTCTCTATTATACAATGAAGCAACTTACAGAACTGTTCATGGTGTTGTTGATTTTTAAGGTAACTCTTGCATGTCAACATTTATATAATCTTGATTTAACCTCCAACTTCATTTAACAATATTATTAGTTAGGAAATAAGCATAAATCTTACCAACTGCATAAGGTAACTACAGATTGCTAATCATCATTATTCTTTTGCATAAAAATATACATGCCTCTTCATAGATGAAAACATCTAGTACCAAACAGGGTGGTCTACTGCTAATACTCTAGTTTGTATCTGGTAGATGCTGGATTCAAATCTCAGCTGGGACACTGGCTATCCTGACTGGAGAGTATTTCTGTTGTTCTCCTCAGTCCCTCCACGCTAATGCTAGGACAGTACCTCAATTATGACACAACAACTTCATTCCAAAAACTTTCCAGTTCATCTATCATCCTGTCGTTTGGCACTGTCTAGTCTAGGTACTCAAACAAATGTAAAATAAACCATAAAACAATCATTTCAATTCATGTCACATAACCTCCATTACAACAGCCATGCCACTTACTTGGAACAGCATCCATAAAGGGATAGAAGAATGCCACTATTAGATTGATAAGGACAGCACAGTTGAAGAGTATGTTGCTCCACAGCGACATGTAGGAACTGACCCAAAAAAGAAAAGGCTGGCCTGAAAACAGAACAGTTTAGAAGGGTGCATATAAGGAATATTTGAAGTTCAAAATTAAGCATGCACGCACACACAAAAAAGCACGTTTATGTATATGCACACTTTCTCATGCATATGACTGGCACTGGAATAAATGTTTCTAAATATGTCATTGTAACTGGTATCTTTCCTTAATGCTTAAACAGTCTGATTCATTTGAAGTATGTATTTGTTTATGTTATTAAGTGTACGACACGTGTCAAAGTAAATCTAATAATGGAGTAATTTAGGGTACTTTTCCACAAAGGTAAGGTTATTAAATTGCAGTTTCTTTCATAAGGTCGTGTATCCGTGTTTACAGTATGATACCATATGAACAATACTGCACAGACATGATCAGTAACATTTAACTCTGAAGACTTGTGAGAAGCTTACAGTGCCACCTGTTCTGTATCTTCACCCATGAAACCACTATACACAATTAGATATGATTAATTAACACACCAGACACTCACTAGAATGAGCTACAGTTATATGAAAGTATGATGAATTCATGTAGTACTGGCATGCGAAGAATCGAAGGGAAACAAATACAATGCTCCTAGCAGCACAGAGAACTTAAGACTGTGAGGCTGTGTAGTTTGGTAGATAATCACCACCACTAAGCCTACGTGACACCAAACCTCAATATTAATATTGTCATGTGTATGAGTGACTAGTGATGGGGTTTGGATTGGGGATTGGCTTTACTGACCACTTTAACACACGACTCATGACCACAATTAATTATAGCGCTGTTACTAAACTCCGCACTTCACAATCACTACAGCACATGCTAAATCTTTCCAGTCTTCTGTGTCTTCACCGGTCATTCCCTGGTAATGGCTTCTAACAGTGGGGATTCTTCAGCTTCCATTCTCAACTTGCTGCCTGCTGGCTCTCAAATGCACTGAATAAGTCTTCTCTTCACAGACCGTTATTAGGGAACAGCTGCATATACTTGCTTATTAAGAATCTGTTGCCTAGCAGCAGACATAGTTTCGTGGTTGTTATCCTGTAACAGGCCTAAACACTAGAACATTCATCACCATGAGAACCTTAAATCTCAACACAAAGAACTGGTTAAGGCAATGGTATCCAATTTTTTCAGAGTGACCAAAGAGGGAGAGGGAGAGAGAGAAAAAGCATGTTTTTTTCCTGGAAATATGACACTGATATGCAGTCTTTTCATATACTCGTTATAGCAAATAAATTTTGATATACACTTCAATCAGACATAATTACATTTCTGTTTACAACTTACTCTGATGAACAGATAATCCTACCTCTCAGTTTCTTTTGCCATTTCATTTCACTGAACATGTCTTCTGTCCTTTCAAAGAAGTCTGATACTTTCGAACCCTGGTCATCTCTCTCTGCTGTATTCAGTATTTTTGATTTTGTATCTGATGTAATGTATTCACAAATTTCAGGAATGGGAAAAACAATCTGCTCTAGGGTTCTGTCCTGCCGAACAATCTGCAAAATGAAACCACATAATGATGGACTTTTGCACCAGTATGAGAATTTTTCTTAGTATCTCGATCTTTTTAAGTGACACCCTGTATGTGCTTGCAGCTATATACGTCGGTTACTTCAAAAGTCATGGCAACATAATTTTTCTGAAATTTCGAAAGCTCCAACCGGAATTTCCAAATTTGCCGCTGAGAGACAGCAACATCTGATTTCTAATGATGCCACTAGATCATGCGGAAGTCCAAGGACAATGAAGTGAGTCCAGCGTGAAGTCAGTGTGATCATAACTTTCATCGAGAATGAACATTAGCCGGCTGGAACAGCGTTGTTATGTGAAAAGAGCAGTGCTTCACAGCAGAAATGCAACTGAATGTCACTCAGAGCTTGTGGAAGCTCTGGGTGATTGTGCTCTACCATACAGAACTGTTGAAAGGTGGATAGAAGAATTCCAACGTGGAAGAGAAGCAAGTGCCGACTTGCAATGTAGTGGACGCCCTGTGTCCGTTCGTACCAATGTTTCTCGTGCCATGATTGCCTAGTGCATGGAGGAAGATAAACGCTGGTTTCTGAAGGAGTTAGAGAGATATGCAGGGATTGACCAGGCAACTGTGCATCAAATTTTACGAAACTAACATTGAATTTTTTATTTCTTAATCACAGTTGAATTTCTTGAGAATTAGAGAATGGGGGGGGGGAAGTCATTCTGTAACGTGCAATTTTTCTTGTCTACTATACCTACGCCCCTTCACATCTGCCTGATCTGACTAAGCCAATCAGAGGGGTATATCATGCCCCTTCATAAGTTTATTTTGAACTTTCTTAACTGTAACGTGTTTGCCCAAAAAATTAGTTGCCATGACTTTCGAAGTAACCCACATATAAATGGCAGCAAGTCCCTGCTGTTATAGTTACTTTATTTTGAGATCATCTTGGTGTATATAAACAAATAACTGTTTGGTGAAAGGAAACCACAGAAGAGCATAAGATTCTGTTGATGATAAAACAATACCAGTAAAATCTAAATGCAAAATGCAAAATGTTTTTAAAACATGGCATGATGTTTTAACAGAACAGTTGACCACATCTAAGAAAGCTAGTTAACAACATGTTAGCTCAAACGCCTTGATAACAAATATCAGTAAAATTAATAAATAATGGAGCTTCACGTGCAACATTATTTACACAAAAAGAATGACATATCAGAAATACTAATGGACAAGTGCTCTCATTGAGATGCCAACAGCTACTCAGCTATTCAAAGAATGCCCTGCTTTTTATTGAACCTGAAGCTTCATCATTAGACCCTATTCTTTTATGATCAGTTCTATTAATTTATAAATTTATAAATGATTTGGGTCAGAAGAAATTACTGTATTTTTTTTATCTGTTTCATTCTGGTCCGTCACATTAACAATTACAAATACAAACCACGCCATCCAATGTGTATAAGTTTTTACTGCAAGAAAACTTATCTCCCTTACATGCTTCGGTCCTTACGGACCATCTTCAGGGGGAAACATCATACAAGTTGGGAACTACCATCACAAAATTGTTTGATTTAAATTACATACATTTATATGCTACAATGCACAGTACTCATAGAGTAGAACATTTCACAATCACAGCAGCTTCCTGGTACTGTATAGTTTTTAAAAGTTTCTAGATATTATTTAAAAACCAGTGTTGTCAATAATTAAAATTTTTAAACCATGTAGGTTCGTGTCTGTCCTCCTATCATCCTTCTTGTATGGGGCAGATTTTGTGCCGTCTGTCTATCTTGATGAGGAGGTTCTGCAAATATATTATGGGTATTTTACTATTTCAGTGATTCTGCTGTCTATATATATATATTTATTTGAGGTTTTTGTTTCGTCCTACCTTGATATCATCCAGGGTTTGCTCGTGGCTTGCTGTGTTGTTTTCACTGGTCTAAAGTGTGCTGTGTCGCGTGAATTTATACTTGTTGTGTTTGTGACGTTAATGTGAGCGCGTTCTGATGATGTATTATGAGGTCGAACATACTACATTGGCTATTACTTTCTTTTTTATACTTTTGTTCTTCTATCAATTTATTGAACTTATTAAATTGATATTTGTAGAAGTCTTCTTTTATATTCATTATGCCCCCTTTTTTAGCTTTTTCAATCATTTCCATGATTACTGTCATCAGCCCATACTGATGGTGATTATTTAGTATGTGTTGGGCAAATGCTGATTCATATTTGTTTACTCTTATATTTCTTATGTGTTCTTTGTATCTAGTTGTTAGATTTCTACCCGTTTGGCCGATGTATACTTTTTGGCAACTTTGGCATGTTAATTTGTATATACCACTATGCTCATACGGGTTCNTGGCTATTACTTTCTTTTTTATACTTTTGTTCTTCTATCAATTTATTGAACTTATTAAATTGATATTTGTAGAAGTCTTCTTTTATATTCATTATGCCCCCTTTTTTAGCTTTTTCAATCATTTCCATGATTACTGTCATCAGCCCGTACTGATGGTGATTATTTAGTATGTGTTGGGCAAATGCTGATTCATCTTTGTTTACTCTTATATTTCTTATGTGTTCTTTGTATCTAGTTGTTAGATTTCTACCCGTTTGGCCGATGTATACTTTTGGGCAACTTTGACATGTTAATTTGTGTATACCACTTTGCTCATATGGGTTCATTTGTCGCGTTTCGTTTATTAGATTACCTGTTTTTTGTGTGTTGTTTTAAATGCTATCTTTATGTTAGTGTTTTTGAATAGTTTTATGATTTTTCGTATGTAGTTTCCTGTGTAGGTATAAGTGACCCATTTTTGTTGTTCTTTTTCATCTTTATTATCCGGGTTACTTATCTTTTGTTTAAGTTTGTTATACAGGTGTGTGATGTCTTCCTTTCTATAGCCATTATTTAGTGCTATATTAATAATGGTGTTTAATTCTTTGTTTTTAGCATTTTTCTCAAGTGGAAGTGTAAGAAGTCTGTGTGTCCAGTTTTTATATGCTGCTAATTTTTGTTCTTTAGGATGGCATGATTTATTATTTATAGTTATGTCTGTCGATGTTGGTTTTCTGTATATTTCCATTTCTATATGTCCATTTCTGTTAATTATGTTTAAGTCTAGGTAGGTTATTTGGTTGTTTACTTCCTCGTTTATTGTGAATAGTAGGTTTTTATGTTGTCTACTGAACTGTTCGAGGACGCATTGGGGGGTTATTTTTGTTTGATTATATATTATGAAGATGTTGTCTACGTATCTGTTGTAGTATTTGATTTTTTCATCTTCCAGCAGATATTTTATTCTGCTTTGTTCTATGTTTTGTAGGAAGATTTCTGCCATTGTACTTGATATGGGGGAGCTCATGGCTACGCCTGTTCTTGGTTTTTAATATTTTCCGTTATATTCGAAATAGTTATTTCTTTTATAATGCTTTTGTCCATGTGATTATCCTTAAGTAGTTTATGGGTTACAAGAAGTGTATCCCAGATTGGGATATTAACGTATAGATCCTTAATATCCGATGTTAGTAGCTTATGATTTGCATTTAGTTTTAATTTTCTTATGTTTTCTGCAAATTGTATTGTGTTGATGATGTTGTACTCGTTTTTTAATTTTAGATAGTCGTTTATTCTTTGATGTATGTATTTAGCTAGTTCATGTGTGGGTGCGTTAGTGTTGTTTATTACTGGTCTAATTGGGGCCTCTTGTTTGTGTATTTTAATTTTTGCTTTCAATTAGGGTGCTTGCGGGTTCATTTGGTGAACATGTTTTCTTTTTATTGGGTCTATTATAATTTTACATTGTTTCAGGGTGTTTTTTGTACTGTTCTTTGAAATTTTTGTGTAGGGTCAGTTCTTAATTCGGAGATGTTATTATTTTCGATAAAAGATTTCACTTTGTCATCTAGGTCTCCTTTATAAATAATAACTAATGTTTTTCCTTTATTGGCTTCTGCTATAGTTGCTTTATGTAGCATAAGCTTTTGTTGTATTTGTTTGGTTGTGTAAGTTTGTTCTTTATATTCTTTATTTATTATGTTTTGTTTTGACGCTATTTGCTGTATGTTTTTGTCTCTAAGTATCTAATGGCTTCTTGTTGATTGATGTCTTTTATTTGTCTTATCGCGTTTTCTGTCTCATAGACTAATTGTTTTATAACTAATTTTGGTGAGATACCCATATTATATTTGCTTCCTTTATTTAGTAAGCTTTCTTCCTTTTCTGAGAGTCAAATGTTAGTCATATTGCACAAACATGGATAAAATGTTTGTTCATTAGGTGAGTGTGTGTTTCTGTGTAGTTGACTAGATAATTTGTCAATCTTATTATTAAGTTTATTATAGTGTTTTTTTGATTCCTCAATTAGTCTGTGGTTTACATCATTTTCTATCAAAGGCCAGCTGGTCTGCCAATATTGTGCATTTCTTAAACGCAATTTGTATAGTTGGTTGTTGATATTTTGTTTCTTAATATATAAGAATTTTAATTTGTTATTTATTCTAAGTTTAGTTAGTTGTTTTTGAGTTAGCTTTACAGCGTTACAGCTTAGGTTGGCGTACTTTGGTATGATATTTTTGTTTTGACAGGTTCGATTGAACCATATATGTGCATTGGTTCGTAGTAGTTTCCTTTTCGTATTGATTTACCAGTTTAGCTTTACTAGCTTCGATAAATTTGATTTGTTTGTATTTGTAATTGTTAGTGTGAAGGACCAGAATCACACAGACAAAAGCATTATAAAAGAAATAATGTCCATACTTACAATGATATTGAACCAAAACTATTTTGAATATAACGGAAAATATTAAAAACAAAGAACAGGCGTAGCCATGGGCTCCCCCATATCAAGTACAATGGCAGAAATCTTCCTACAAAACACNGTTACCTATTGTGTGTGTTGTTTTAAAGGCTATCTTTATGTTGGTGTTTTTGAATAGTTTTGTGATTTTTCTTATGTAGTTTCCTGTGTAGGTATAAGTGACCCATTTTTGTTGTTCTTTTTTATCTTTATTATCCGGGTTACTTATTTTTTGTTTAAGTTTGTTATACAGGTGTGTGATGTCTTCCTTTCTATAGCCATTATTTAATGCTATATTAATAATGGTGTCTAAATCTTTGCTTTTAGCATCCTTCTCGAGTGGAAGTGTAAGAAGTCTGTGTATGCCACCCTAAAGAACAAAAATTAGCAGCATATAAAAACCGGATACACAGACTTCTTACACTTCCACTTGAGAAAAATGCTAAAAGCAAAGAATTAAACACTATTATTAATATAGCACTAAATAATGGCTATAGAAAGTAAGATATCATACACCTGTATAACAAACTTAAACAAAAGATAAGTAACCCGGATAGTAAAGACGAAAAAGAACAACAAAAATGGGT